ACTTGTCGCGCGCCGCAAGCAGCGGGCGAGGGATGACGGCCTCCATGTACGGGGGGCCTCTCCTCAACGACGGCTTCATGTTCCAGCAGAGGACAAAGTGCTCCGGCATCACCTAGATGTCCGGGCGCGTCATGTCTTTGGGGCCGTTCGGGACGTCGGCCCGCTTGGGGAAAAAGGAGCGGGGAGCGCCAGCGAAGAAGACGGCCAGCGCCCTGAACCGGGTGTACACCTTGGCGGGCGACTCGGTGCCGACCGTGAGGAAGTCCTTCCACGTCGTCATGTCGAGCTGCTTGTAGTGTTTACCGTCGAGAGCTTGCTGGTTGCCGCGATAGAGACGGTCCTCGTAGAAGAGGGAGACGCTGCGGGTTTGCCTGGAGACCAGGAGGCTCGCCTCCATGCCGGCCGTGTCGATGTCGCCGATGGCTTTGATCCTGGCCACTTCCTCGTTCGGTATGTCCAACACGTCGAATGGGTTGGTCAACTTGTCTTGGAAGGGCTCAACCATGTCTGCGTCGAGGAAGCCGGTGGGCGCCCACGGCTGGGTCGACATGATGGGCGGGTGGTGGGCGGGTGGTGGCGAGGAGGCTAAACCGCTACAAGGGCGGAGCGCACGAGTGCCAACGGTCAGCCGAGCCCCAGCCAAAAAAGACGCCGATATACGTAAGCGGCGAGGGGGGATCAACACAAGGCCGAAGGACCGCAGGGCGAGCGGGCGCGAGAAGGAGACGAGAGCGGAAGGATCAAATCTAAAGCGCGAGCCACTCACCTTGTGTCGCGGGCGCGGGCGGCCGAGGCGGGGCGGGGCGGCGATGTCAATCCAGCAGATGAAATCGCGCCGCGGCGGGATCTTGTGCGCCCGATCTATCTGCGACCGGGCGGGTGGCACCAGGCGAGGGCAGGGCCGGGTGGTGGTAAAGCAGATTGAGGTTCAGGTTGTGGGAAAAGCGTGGCGGCGGTGCCAGTTGGGGGAAGGAGCGTAGAGGTTTTTTTTACTGCCAGTGGGCTGTCGGGCAAAACCCAGGCGCCTTAGGTAGGTAGGTAGGTCGGTGCCGGTCAGGTGGAGTGGGTGGGGTTGAAAAGAATCAACAGCTACGCCAAAGTCGCGAATACCCAATCCTCCACCTCCGCCCTGGACCACGCCCGCCCAACTTGTCAGGCTTCATGCCCTGCAGTCGATCGATCGCCAACGGCGTCTCCCCACCCGCACCGCCGATCGTCCAACCCTGGCACCTCTAATACACGCATCGCGCGCATAGAAGCCGTGCAGCCGTCGCATCCGCAGGTAAGCCGCCGCTGCTTCCCCGCCACACTGCAGAGGTCGATTGGCTGACCTTCAACCTCGCGGCCACATAAAAACAGACGAACGAATGCCGTCGACGCGGTCCCTACGCGGCGTCGGTGAACCAGCCGCCCTCTGAATCCACACGCCGCTGCCCGAGCGGCCGGACGCCTCGACCGCGGCGTACACCCAGCAGAGCCCGGGCGGACCGCATCGTCGCTGCTTCTTGCTCCCTACCATCCGCCCATCGTGGCCGGCCAACAGTGGCCGTACTGCTGGAGTCCTGGACTCCGGATTCTCGACCATCGACACACGCTCGCGTTCCAACACCTGCTCCCCAACCCCTTCGACGTTCTCGGGATGGACGCGGCCGAAATCCTCAGGATTATGGCCGTACCCGTGCTCAAGCACCACCGCCGGGCCTGGAGGCACTACGTTAACCCACCGGCCGGCGACACCGCCCAGCCCCCCTACACGTTAGTGCATCTGAACCAGGTGAAGGCACTCTTCGTGCCCGTTCAGGCACCCGACCCGACCAAGAAGCGCGCGAAGCGCAAGGCTGGCGGGGGGGCGCGCGCGAGGGACGGCCTGGACGCCTTCGAATCGATGCACGACTTTTTCCAGGGTGCCCCGAGGACCTTCTTCCCCGAGCTCGCCCTTGCCCCCGCCCAGGCCGGCATTCTTGCTCCCTCGGGCATTTAGCAAATCCCTCGAGGCTTCAAGAGCGCCTAGCGCATGAAGGAGGTCGCCGGCGGGTATTCCGACGAGATGTGGGCAATAGAGGCCGTCGCCATGCACGGCCAAGAGGAGCAGCACCAGGCCCAGCCGCCCCAGGCCCAGCCGTCCGAGGACCAGCCGCCCCAGGCACACGAGAACCATTCCGAGCAGCACCCGGGCCAGCCGTTCGAGGCCCAGCCGCCTCAAGCCCAAGAGCACCATGCCCGGCCGCAGCAGGCCCAGCCGTCCGAGGCCCAGCCGCCTCAGGCCCAGCCGCCTCAAGCCCAACAGCACCATACCCGGCCGCAGCAGGCCCGGCCACACCAGGTCCAGCCCCATCAACGGCCACCCGCGCTGGGCAGACATGACGATACGGCCAACTTGGTGGCCGTGTTTACCAGATTTGCCGCGGTCGACAGGCTCGTTTTTCTATTCTGGGCTAGAATTTGTCACTGGTTGCGGCCATGTCGGTTAGGAATTCATGCCCAGCTTTAAAATGGCTTTTCTTCTTCAAAGGTACGGACGGGCTGCTTGCCTTTTCCAAAGTGTTTCGGCAAAGGTGACCGCTTTGGAGCAGCAGCTGAATGTGCGTTGTCGTCGTTGTCGTTGCAGCCCGCCGGCAGCAGCAGCGGGAGCATGGCGGCTGATTGAGAGGACGACGCGACGACCGGCTCCCGCTGCTGCCGCCGGCGGGCTCCAACGCGCGCAGCGGCCTCCGGGGGAGGCGGGCCGGGAGCACCAGTGCCGCCACCGTGGTCGCTAGCCTCGGCTTCTTTGGGCCACCTGCCGGGACCCCGGCCCGTTCCACCACCCTTCTTTTTGACGGGAGCGGCGGTGGCCGGCAGAGATGGTGCGACGCTCGCAGGGATCGACGTGGGCGTATGGGCGCTTTGGAGCTTGGACTTGGCAACCCGCCCTAAAAGCTACCGGCTCACAGGGGCGTCGTCGAGCCGGATGATGGTTCTACCAATCGCCAGCTCGTCGTGGTCGTTGTCCAGCTCCTTGGCGCGAACATCCCCCTGGGCTTGGCCAAGGAGGACCTTCTAGAATTATCATTATCATCGTCATCGTCGTTGTGTTTATTTTTGTCCATGTCCATACTATGCTCGGCGGCCACATCCTCCTCGTCATAAAACCGGATAGGCTCGCCATCCGAATGGAGATCGACGTCTTGGTTATGCTTTTCGCTTTGGACGTCATCCGGAATAAGGCCCGTCGCGCGGGCCTTGTGCAGCGAGGACGGTAAAGGTCCCCCGATAGACGGCTGGCTAGGCCGCAGGGCCTGCTCCTCGGCCTGAACCTCGCCGGCGTCGGCCAGGATGCGGTTCTTGCGGGGGCGGCCCGCCTTCTTGGGAACGGGCGCATCCTTAATGGCCTCGAGCGTCGCCTCCTCCTGCTTGCGGTCGCGCCGGAGACGGCCCCCTTACCGCCAATCCTCCACACATCTTGGTACAAGGTATCCGAGGGCTTTCGAGCAGTCGATCGCCGCGCGCGCGGCCGGTTTGTCGGTCGAGCCGACGAGATTGTATGGGCGACGTCGAGCCGTGCGGTCGGGAAGGGGGCCGGCGGGAAAGACGAGCTTGTTGGCGATCTAGATCGTGCCATGATGCGTCTCCGGCTACAAACGGATCTTGCCGAGACCAAGGTTCCAGAGAGCAAAAAGGATGCGATCTAGCCATGGGGACTTGCGTGTGATGTCTGGCCATAACAGAACTTCAAAAACATTGATATCCGGTGAATCACAAATGGCATTATGTGGTTTCTGCATTTGGTTCCTA